AAAAAAAAAAAAAAAAAAATCAAAAAAATTAGCCAGGTGTGGTGGTGCGTGCCTGTAGCTCCGGCTACTTGGGAGGCTGAGGTGGAAGGATCACCCGAGCCCAGGAGGTCGAAGCTGTGGTGAGCCACGATTGTGCCATGGCCACTGCACTTCAGCCTGGGTGATAAGAGTGAGACCCTGATTCAAATGTATCAATGGAAGCCTGAACTTATATATACAAGCAGGGACAGCCCAATGTCAGGGTGACCCTGAAGATTTTTGGATCCCCCTAGGTTGCACAGTCAGCTCCCCAGGGGTGAGGAGGGAGGACCATCCCACGTCGTGACACAGACAGATCACTGCAGTGTAGCAGCCTCACAGAGGCGAAGACAGGACAAATGTCTCCCAGAGCCTCGCTCAACTTGGTTCTCCAAACGCACCAACAGGCCCTTGAGGTCTGTGCAATGATATCACCACCTTCAGCACCATCACAATCGAATGAAAGCCTCCTGGACCCAGAAGCCCAAGAGGTTAGGAATCAGAAGTCAGAACAAACACACGGTTGAAATTCTCCAACAGGTTGTGGTATGTCCATGTCCTTAATTCCTAGAACCTTATGTGTGAAGGTTCCTCATATGTACCCTGTGAATGTGACATTGTATGACAGGGAAAACAAGGGTATTTGCAGATGTGATTAATTAAGGATCTTGAGATGGGAGATTATCCTGGAATGGTCACGCGCACACATATCCTTACAGGAGATAAGAAGAGGGAGATTTGACCCATATGGACTAGAAAGTGCTGTGAAGAAGGCAGAGAAATTTGAGGCTCCTGGCCTTGGAGTAACGCAGCCAAAGCCCGGGAATCCAGGAGCCACAAAAGTTAGAGGAGGAGCATACATCTTTTTTCAGGCCTCCAGAGGGAGGACAGACCCACCCACAGCTTGATTTTGTGCCAGTGACCCTGATTTCAGACGTCTGGGTTCCAGAACTATGAAAGAATGCATTTCTATTGTTTTAAGCCGCTAAGTTTGTGGCGAATTGTTGTTAGGAAGCTAATACACAGGTCGATGTAATTTCCCCTGCTTCCCTTCCTTAGCCAGCATTCACAAAAAGGACCCAGAGTGCGCTCAGGGCTGTGAAGGGTGCAGAGACTAACAAGGTCCCAGTGAGAGCAGAGGGTGTGGTGCAGCTGCCTGTGCCTGGGTCACACGCCACGCTGGGCCACGTGGTATGGCAGAGTCAGACCAAAGCATCAGACACAGCGGGACACATCGAAGGCTGCTTGGGGTCAGGCGATGTTTGCACTCAGCTCTGAAGGCTGAGGCTGGCTCCCAACAGGCTAGGGTGGAAGTGGTCCAAGCCAAAGGCACGGAATGAGGAAAGACACTGATTTGTAAGAGACCAAGGTGTGCCAGGAATGAGCACGTGGTCGGGGTAGAGGGTGGGGGACTGGGAGAGAAGGCTAGAAAGGCAAGTTGGACCAAACCATGGCGAGGCCTGAGGGACAACAGCCCAGGAGCCCTGCTCTGCTGAAAGGTGGGACTGGCCTGGGGCAGTGCCTGCAAATGACAATGAACACAAGCCACTAAGGAACAGATTTGGAAATCGTATTGGAAATGACAGTCCCAAAGACATGACCCTGGTTTGGCCTTTGAGGAATTTTACTGCTGAGTTGGAATCCCAGCCCTGCTGGGGAGCTGGCACTGAATTACAGCTGGAAGGTCCATGAGAAGAGAAAACAAGGGGCCAAAGCAAGAGGAGGAAGAGGAAAAGAAGAGAGAAAAGAAGAGAGAAGAAGAGAAGGAAGACGTTGTGGGCTCCCAGGCAGCAAGCGCCCCTGCCAAAACCCTTGTTTTCCTCCCTCCACCCTTGTGCACCGCCCTCTGTGCCAGGGGACAGAGGCCCATGGGATCTGTGGTTGTCCCTGTCTAGCTACTGCTGGCAGACTTGGTTAGGCTGTGCCCTGGCCTGGGCCTGTAATTCTTCTGCCACTGTTAATGGGCAAGGAGCTGCCATCTATTCCCGCTAGAGATTGTGCCAGGTTTGCAGCCATTTGTATCTTGAACCTCGTAATTAGGGCAGGAGGAATCCTGGGGGCCAGAGGGCAGGCTCTGTTTGGATAAACTTGGCAAAGTTCAGCTGCTTCTCTGAACTCTTCCCGATTTGCGGTGTGGAGCTGAGAGGGCCAGCCGGTGACCTCGGCTTAGCCTGCCGACATGCTCTCAGGACAGGTTCCAGAGCTGCTTTCCCCGCCCCTTCTGCCATCACGGAGATTGTAGAGTCATAGATTCAGAGAGCACAGAGCTGAGGAAGATGTGCCTTAGTGGGAGTGGGGTGTGAGGGCAGATCGGAGGGGCAAAAGCCTGGGATTCAAGTCCTCTATCTGCAGGCTGCCCAGGCCTGGGAAATTCCATCACTGCTCTAGGTCTCAGCTAGCCCTGGAGCACTGGGAATACACCCCTGACCTGGCCCACCTCGCAGGGCTGTTATTTTAAGGGGCTGCAGGAGAAGTCTTCGCCCTCTATAAAGTGCTGCAAGAGTTTATGAATGGACGTGTCCTGGAATCCCTTGCCCAAGGCTGCCCTAACTTGCTAAAGGTTGAGAAATAAGGAGCCAGGGTAGAAGGAGGGATGTGAGGAAGAGTGGGGGGCTCAGTGTGTCCCTCCACCTCTGTGACCTGCACGGGCCCGTCCTTGCAGCAGAAAAGGCCAAGGTTTTGCAGGCAGGAACCTGGCAGGCCTCCTCGGCATTAGCGAGGCTCAGGGCACGAGTACACACGGAGGCTATTTCCCATATGTCTCATATTTAAAAGTCATAAATCAAGCTAACAAACCGTTAAATGAAATATGCTCCGTCCTCCTACCTTGTTAAATACATCTTTGAAACAACCTGGAAGGCCAGGATCGAATTTCGAATTCTGGACCTCCTTGGTGTTGTACGCCAGAAGTCGCTGCAGGAGGGGGGAAGAGGCCACCCAGCTAGGGGCTAGAATCTGACCTGCTGCGCTTCCCACCCAGGTCCTTGTCACCACACAGGGTCTTGAACACACATGTGTGGACACCCAGTCCTCACATCCGAGCTCTGTCCCCCCTCCCCCCCACAAAGAGCCAGCTCTTGGACCTACCACCAGCTCACAAGCCTCCTTCCTCCTCGGGCCTCGTGTCACAGGCCAGTGAGGCGGGCTATCTTTGGGAGGATGACCCTGGGGAAGAGGCTGGAAGAGGCTTGGGCCTATTTAGGTGGGACTCCAGGGTGAGATGGGTGGGACATGGGAATGTCCCCTTGGCTCTGTGGACTCCCCCAGGTCCACGGGGAAGGGGGTGGGGCCTCAGCAAGGCCAGCTCAGCAGGGCCAGAGGGGGGATCTCTAGGGCCTCTCCTGCCTGGGTCTCAGGGTGGTGCCAACTGGCTTCTAGTTGTGGCCCTGCTGCTGACGCGCTGGATGATTTGGGCACGTCCCAGACCCTTTCTGGGTTCAATTTCCTCACCAGTACAGTGAGATGCATAATTCTCTGTCTACGTCTCAGGTCTGGTGTGAGACTCCCAAAGAGAAAGCTGTGGAGGCAGGGGGTGAAACTATTCCAGTTTTTTTAAATGCCCAGAGAGAGTCAACAGTGTGTGTCAGGAGAGGATCGAGCACCTAGTGCCCCCAAGCACTGAAACAAGCTGTGTGGCCCCCTGTAAATGACCCCAAACCAGAAACAGAATGGTGACTGTAGGCAATACTAATGTGCTACGTGTTTTCGAACATCTAAAAGAGAGGACCTTAACTGTTCTTTCCACCAAGAATGATAAACATTGGAGGTGATGGATCCGCTATTTAGCCCGGTTTGATCACTCCACAATGCATACATGTATGAAACACCACATGGTACCCCATAGATATATCAATTATTATCTGTCAATTAAAAATAAAATTAAATGAACAAAAACTTGCTTAAAGAGATAATGCTAATTCATAAAAGAAGTGTAGCAACACCCAACGAAGGCCTGATTTTTTTAAAACATCTTTTGGGAAAGGATACTTTGGGTATCCCTGCTATGTTAATACCCTTAACACCCAGACAGCCTCCCCACACTGCTCCACAATTCAATGCAAGGAGGTGTGGTGGCCTTCTTTTCCTTTTTTTTTTGAGTTGGCGTCTCACTCCATCACCCAGGCTGGAGTGCAGTGGCATGCTCACAGCCTACCAGCGTCGACCTGCTGGGCTCCAGTGATCCTTCCACCTCAGCCTTCCAAGTAGCCGGAACTACAGCCATGCACTACCACGCCCGGCTAATTTTTTTGATTTATTGTAGCGATGAGGTCTCACCAAGTTGCCCAGACAGGTCTCAAACCCACAGGCTCAGGCAATCCACTTGCTCGGCCTCCCAAATTACTGGGATTACAGGCTAAGTCACTGAGCCGGGCCGGCCTTCTTTTCAAATATCTTGAAACTGACATCACTGGCCACAGGAGGATCAGGTTCCAGGGGCTAGGGGATGTTCAGTTTAGAATCAAGCAACAAGCCCACCAGCCAACATCTTGTCTGTCTTGAACACACCATCCTCAAGCCGGGGGAGTCAGGCCACCAAGAGCACCTTAGGGGCTTCCCGCTCGTTCATGTCATACAATCTAGGTTGGAGAGAGAGAGTGGGTACAGAAAGGAGGGCAGTCTGGGGAGAAGGCCCCCTCCACACTGGCTGAGTGACCTTCAGCCAGCCCCTGCACCCCTCTGTGTTCACACTCCCTGCGTGGCCAACGAGGGGCTGTTTGAGTGACAGCCAAGAACCACCCCCCCATGTTCTCCCAGGTACTGCTGCTGGCTGGTCCGGCCCCGCTGCAGGCCAGCTGCGGAGAGCACAGATCTCTGCCTGATTTATTCAGGTCCACTTCTCAGAAGCGCAGAGGTCACTTGGGCTGTTTGAGGGGGTGCCCCCCCAACGAAACCCCGTCCACTGCCTGCTGTGGAGATGCCGACAGTGCAAACTCACCAGGCACCATCCCTGTCAGCGTCGGTGCTGAGTAGCTGCCCTGTCCGGCGGGGGGGACGTGCGGAGGGTACCCGGGGAGGGTCGTGCTCGCCAAGTCACGGCCTGAGGAATCAAAGCAACAAATCACAGGGTGAGCATCTCCGCGGCCAGCCGCTCGTGTCCACAGCTCCCCAGACACTTCTGCACATTTGTCACGTCTGGACGCTGAACGCCAATGTGCCCCCAGCTCCCCCCTGTCGCTCACACGTGCCTCTCTCTCTTTCTCTCTCTCTCTGTCTTTCTCTCTCATACACACACACACACACACACACAAACACACACACACTCTGGTCACCCTGCAAAACCTGAACCAGGGCTCTGGACAATGCAGGTGCCAGTACACCCTGGCTCTGGCCAGCTCACCTAGCTTTCTACTCCCAAGGATGCCTTGGACTTCACCTCCACGCCATGCTGTTTCTGCACCCTCTGCACAAAAGTGCCCCTTCCCTCCACAGCCACCACCTGCCTTCAAAGACCAGCTCACAAGCCTCCTTCCTCCTCTTCCTCAAAGCCCCCTACAGTGGGCAGGGGACATACCCATCTTGGATTCTACAGCCCCACATCTGGCCCAGTACTGAATTCTTTTTCCTTTGGCCTAGAGCTGTTTTTTATTCAACAAAGATGTGAGAAGTGCCTCCTGGTACCAAACACTGATTTAGTGCTGGGACATGAAGTTAACAAGTGTCTATACCTTGGCTATCAAGGTGCAGACACTCCCAAAGTTGAGCATTTGGCTCCTGACCATGAGTCCAAAGTCTCAACGTACCTCTCAGCTGGGACACTGTCACCACTGATGACTAGCTTCATCGTGCAGAAGGAACAGTTTTTATGGGTGTGTGCGTTGGTGTGGAGGCCAAGGCTACATGGGGGGGGGCAGGAGGAAGCTGTCAAATCTTCCTCCTCAAAGATGGAGGGCATTTTTCCAGTAGGAGACAGGTGCCAATCCATCTGGTTGCCTGAGATGGATAAGAGGGTTCTGAGAGGGGAAGGGACTTGCTCGAGGATACTCATTTGACCTGAGGGAAGGCTGGGACTGGAACCCAGGTCTTCTGCCTCCTAAGATTGTATCCTTCTTTCAACAGGGGACTTCTCTTGGAGATCATGTCTGAACCCCAAGAGTTTCTGTTGTTGTTATACATGCTTTAAAACCTTGATCCTAGCCGGGCTCGGTAGCTCAGCCTGTAATCCCGCGTCTTTGGGAGGCTGAGGTGAGTGGATTGCCTGAGCCCGCGGGTTCGAGACCCGCCTGGGCAGCGAGACCTCATCTCTACAATAAATCAAAAATCAGCCGAGCGTGGTAGTGCATGCCTGTAATTCCAGCTACTTGGAAGGCTGAGGTGGAAGGATCGCCAGAGCCCAGTGGGTCAAGGCTGCGGTGGCCGGGAGCGGCCACTGCATTCCAGTCTGAGCGACCGAGTGAAACTCCAACTAAAAAAAAAAAAAAAAAAAGACCTTAATTCCCTAAATCAGAGATATGGAAAATCAATGCCTCACTGAAACACTCAACGTAAGAAGCCAGATAAAAAAACAATAAAATGAAGGAGGAAGAAGTTATTGATAAAGAAAAAACAGAAAAAAATGAATTAGGAAACAGAAATAGTAGATACAACAATAAATACAATCACGAATTGTTATTTGAAAAGACCAATTTAATAGACAAAACTAGGTTAAGATTCAAAAAAGGTACAAATATATCAAGATAAGGAATGAGAAGAAGATATAACCAGAGATAGGGAAGAATGATATTTTAAAATGTAAGGAAATATACTCCACACTAATAATTGTAGAAATCTCAATAAAAGGTACAATTTTCTAGAACATGAAAAATTACCAAAATTAATTCAAGAAGAGATAGAGAATACCAGCTATCCAATAACCTTAGATAAACAGAAAGAGTTGTTTTCTTAAAAAAACAAAAACAAATAATTGCCTTACCCATTTAGCCTCTTGGGCAAGTTTCTGTTTGTTTTTGTTTTTTGGCAAGTTATTTTAAACCTTCAAGGAACACATATTTCTGTTATTAAACTGTTCCAGGATATATAAAACTAAGGAAATCTTCCCAATTCATTTTGCTAAGCTAGCATAATTCTGATCTAAAAAACTTAAAGACAGCACAAAGAGTAAAGGCTAGCTTACAATTTACTAATATAGATTCAAAAAGTCTACTAATCCACTGATTGAGTAATATTAAAGAAAGAATAATATACCATGATTAAATAAGGCTCATTCCAGGTATGCAAGGATGGTTCAATATTAAAGCATTAGTCAGAACATCGTACTTATGTGTCAAGGGAGGAAAGTCATATAATTATGTCAAACATGTAAAAAAGGATTTAGCTAAAATTCAATATTAACTTCTTATGACTTCTTTTGTTAAATAAGAACTGGAGTATACTTCTTTGACCTTATATATCATACTTAATTGGTGAAATGCTCGAAATTTCCTATCAAAGTCAAGATCATGTCAAAGATACCTATTATCAATGTTATCACTGAAAATTCTGAAAGTTTTCGCAAGTACAATAAGACAAGATAGAGACATAAGGAGATAAACATAATGGGAGGTATAGGGCAGAGGGGACAAGATTACCATTAGCTGGAGATGTCTTGGGCCTGGAAAACCATAAGAGAATTAGTTCATCTACTAGAACCAGTGAAAAAGTTTGGTGAGACAGCTGGGTAATGGATTGTGTTACCTGCAGCCTTGTGTGGGGCTTGGCCATCTGGCTGGGAGTTCATCCCATTTCAAGTCCTGCCTCCCAGTCCACCAGAATGGCAGTGAGCACTCTGGGAAGCCAACAAATGGCCACATACACTTTACAAATCTCTCTGCTTCTGAGTTCCCCATTACCAAGGGTTCCTTTGCAATATCCATGGTTCCATTTTTGTCCAGTGACTGTCCCTGGAATCGAAGGTTTCACCTATGGCTGCATTAACTTTCCTTGGACTGATCACGAAAACAAAGACCTGGGTTATCACTTTCAAGGAAGGGAGAGAAACTGACAGCTTTCTCTGTCATCTCAACCATATGAATTACTGCAGTGTGCCAGGCACTGGGGCAGGTTGTTGAGTTGCATTATTCCATTTAAACTGCATAGCTTACAAAATTCCCAATATAAACTTTATGGCACTATGTGGGGAAGTCTCAGAGAGACTGTGGCTCAACTGAGAAAGGAACACAGCAGAGAACAGTGACCAAGAGTGTCAAGTCTGCCTGAGCTCAAATCTTTGATTTACCACTTATTAATCATGTGACCTTAAGAAAGTCCCTTAATCATTCTGAGCCTCAGGGTCCTCACCTATAAAATGGGGATAATAATAGTTAATATAGAAAGCAAACTGTGAGTTAGGTACACAAATAGCCATTTATTTATCACAATAACCCTATAAGAGAGCTACTATTATCGCTGTTTCACTGAAGGAGAAATGAAGACACAGAGAGATTAAGACACACAGCTAACAAATTTTAGAAAGTGAGATTTCTAACCCAATCAGTCTGGCTTGCAAGTCTTCCCCCTCCACCCTTACTCCGTGCCACCTCTGCAACCATGACAACATGCCTCTCTCATGAGGCTGTCATGAAGAGTCCATGAGAAGCGCATGGTACAATGTGGAAGACTGAATTATCGAGTCCAGTTCTTCACATCACCCTTTCCACCATCAGCTTGAAAAAGAAATAGTAATTCAACACCAGAAAATAGGAAAGATACAATATTAAAGTGATTTTTAAGCCAAATAAATGTAGTTTTAAGAAGAACAGAAAGAACCCTTTGCAGTTCCTCCCACTGGAGCAGCGTGAACACCTCTGCCCCTTAAGCTTGGGCTCAGCCATGCACCTTGCTCCAGCCAGTGCGGTATGAGCAGACACTGAGCACACAGAAACTTGGCATGCACTTGTGTGGCTAGGTGTGCCCCTTTGTGCTTCTCCCAGAACAATAAGAACATGCCCTGGTCAGCCTGCTAGTCTAAGGAGGAAAGGAGACATGTGGAACAGAGATGGACCCAACCCACCCTGGAGCCAAGCGCAGCCTGGCCAGCCACTCTCAGCCCATCCCCAGATGCGTGTGCAAGAATAAATGATTACTGTATTAAGGCCTGAGTTTTGGGGTAGCTTGCCATTGCTGATTGATAAGGCTTAATAAATGTTATCTGTTCTTACTGTCATCATTATTCTCTACTTCAGAACACCTGCCTGGGAATTCTAAGAATACCTATCTGAACCCAAGCAGAGGCAGGACACTGCCTGTTGGGAAACCCACAGAGGGAATTCAAGTCTCAAATCTGCTCCAATGGCCTATCAGGATTCTCCCAGCATGGAGATAAGGAGTCTGTGGCCTTGGAGGGTATAGGCATTTTCCCCTTCTCAGTCCCTTCCCTAACATGTCTCAGGCTAGGGAGCTAAGGGGATGATACTGCTCCTTTTTGCTCTAATCCAGACCTGTGAACTGGGACAGGAAACCAGATTAAATGTTTCTGAACTCGATATGACATCAAAGCACACATTTAAATTATTTTTTTTTACCAAGGAAAAAATTATTTGTATCATTTGCAATAGCACTGGATGTTATTGATGGCCTATACTAAATTAGCAAATAACTAAAATGAATTGATTTGAGTTCCTAACATAATTCCTCTTATGAACAGCACATAAGTACATCTCATCCAATTCATGCGTGACCTTCTCTTCCAGAGAGAATAACCAACACTTGGCTTTGCTTACTATTAGTAAGGAGTCCATGCAGCACCTTGGGACACAAGATGAGGACCACTCCTCCACTTTGCTTAAAATAATCCACTCTTTTCAATCCTGAAAGGAAGGGAAAGAATGGAAACCTACCCCTGTTGAACAGATGAGAAAACTGAAGGTCAGAAATGAGTTTTGACTAGCCAGAAGTCACAGAGTAAGTGCTAGAACAAGGACTTCAACTCAGATCTCAAGACTTTGGTTAAATACTTTTCTTTCAGGATTACTCAAAATGTGCCCTTCTAGAGGACTAGCCCCCCAAGAAGCTAAAACATTCTGCAAAGTCTTTATAATCAACAATGTGATACCAGCCCATGAA